TATGGTATTGAATCTGGAGATGATATTGAGTCAGGGCATGGTATTGAATCTGGAGATGGTATTGAGTCAGGGCATGGTATTGAATCTGGAGATGGTATTGAGTCTGGTCATGGTATGGAATCTGGAGATGATATTGAGTCTGGGCATGGTATGGAATCTGGAGATGGTATTGAGTCAGGGCATGGTATTGAATCTGGAGATGATATTGAGTCTGGTCATGGTATTGAATCTGGAGATGATATTGAGTCTGGGCATGGTATTGAATCTGGAGATGGTATTGAGTCAGGGCATGGTATTGAATCTGGAGATGGTATTGAGTCTGGTCATGGTATTGAATCTGGAGATGATATTGAGTCTGGTCATGGTATTGAATCTGGAGATGATATTGAGTCTGGGCATGGTATTGAATCTGGAGATGGTATTGAGTCTGGTCATGGTATTGAATCTGGAGATGGTATTGAGTCTGGTCATGGTATTGAATCTGGAGATGATATTGAGTCTGGGCATGATATTGGGTCTGGAAGTCTCCGCTCTGGTCATCCCTATTGTCAATACGCACAAACACCCTTTTTTTAATGAGGTATGGTTTAATGTCGCTTTCAAGATAATTAAACTTGTAAAGCGACGTGCATGCACGCGTGTGTGAGTGTGTGTGTGTGTGTGTGTGTGTGTGTGTGTGTGTGTGTGTGTGTACTAGACCAGACTATTGCCGATTTAATAGTGCGGGGAAGACGCTTTACCACTAGACCACGGAGACGGTCTCTTTTGTATTGAATTGCAGAATATTTTGAACGTCTTTCTCATCACAAATTGTCATTATTGAGATCATTCTATTGTATCTATGTATGTCTAGGTATTTAATAAAAATACACCTCAGTACTAGTGATAATAACTATAATAGCAACCTAATAACTATTGCTACATATATTGCTTGCTTTCAACACTTATGAACACCTGGACTGTAATATTTAATGCACTGGAGGCCTAATCTGACCCAGGATGCCCGCGGGGACAGTGAGGAAAATAATTACACATGCCAGTAATCCTATTGTTCTTTTCCACTACCTCGTTTGTTGATTTTCTCTTTTGTTATTCAACAAAGACACGCAACCAGGATATCAACCATGTTTTTTTTCCGGCTACTTCTTAATTATCATTTTCATTGGACATGTCGCTGAGTTTTCGTGAAGAGCTAATTTAGTGAGTGAGTGAGTTGGGTTTTGCGCCGCTTTTAACAGTATTACAGTTATATTGCAGCGTGTCAGCTTTATGTGGGAGGAAAGCCCGAAGTGATGCAGGTCTCAGACGTTTACCACTTCGAGGAAACCCACGAGCACGGGTATGCTGCTAATAATCCTAGAAACATAATCGGGGCGAACCGGGATTCGAACCCACAATCATACGTTTCTGGTGTGTCCAAAGGACGCAACTCTGCTCAGCGAATCGCGGCGCCTTAGACGACTGGGCCATCCGTGTCCCCAAGTGCTGATTTAAGCGAAAGTGTCGTTCACTTCAGCCATCAAAACAATTGTTTCTGTAACTTTGTATACCACTTTCCACATGACAAACTTTAGGAAAAACTTCATTCCTTCATCAATGGGGCTTTTGTAACACAACGTGGTGACCATAGATATAGTTACAGGTCTATCTCCAGGGGTTCCGGTCAATTGGTAAAAAATGCCATCTGAAGTTTACTGAGCAAACAATATGTGAAATACTTGACTTCTTCATTGATACCATCTATGTAAAAGTTAAGTGAGTGAGTGAGTGAGTGAGTATGGTTTTACGCCGCTTTTAGCAATATTCCAGCAATATCACGGCGGGGGAAACCAGAAATGGGCTTCGGGAATCGAACCCGGGTCTTCGGCGTGACGAGCGAACGCTTTAACCACTAGGCTACCCGACCGCCCCGTAAAAGTTAAGGATAAGACATTTAGGCAGAAGGAGGCATCCCCATGGGCACCAATTCCGCTCCCTTTCTTGTTGATGTTTTTTTATGCATATGAATGAGAATTTCGGCCCCGATTGGCAAAGTCAAAACAAACTAATTTGGCTAAGAAGTTTAACTGAAGCTTCAGGTATATCGTTGATCTTATATCGTTCAATAATCGGAGAGTGAATAACCTTCCACTGATTTACCCAGCTGAACTAGAAATAAAGAGGACCAATGAGGCCGCCTCATCTGTTTCATATTTAGATCTATGCATAAAGATTAAGATTAACAAAACACTCTCCACAAGACTGTATGACAAGAGGGATGATTTCAACCTTCCTTGTATGTCGAGCAATATGTTTACAAGGGTTGAAAGTACGAAAGATAGGATTATTAGCAAATGAATTAGTATTAATGTGTTTAAAAGTGTCCCCGACTTTCATTTACGTAGATGATACTTTCATGAACGTAGATGATAGTATCATTTACGTATATTAAAGTATCTTCTACGGAGATGAAAGTATCATCTGTGTGGGTGTTTCTTTCAGAATGTGGCACTAATACGCTTCCATACTTGTGTTCTTTAGTTCAATTTTTTAATGCCACACTCAGCACTATTCCAGCTATATGACAGCGGTCCGTACATAAACGAATCTGGTAAAGACGGTCCTGTAATCGGCATCGCGAGAATTCTACGCAATTGGGATACAATCACATGCGTCAACCAAATCAACGAGCCTGTCTGTCCGATCCCGTTAGTCGCATCTTACGACAAGCATGGGTTGCAGAAGACTTATTCTAAACTGGATCGTCACAAGGCATATTTATATCTGATAACTGGTGGGATCTTAATGTATTCCCTGTTTGTGTGAGTAAGACAACATGGTAAACATGTCATGTTGTGCCTGGGGGAATTGTAGCCCAGTCGTCAATTCGCTGTTCAGAGTTGCGTCCCTTGGGCACGCCAGAAACCTATGATTGTGGGTTCGCATCCCGGTTCGCCCCGATTATGTTTCTAGGTTTGTCAGCACCATACCCGTGCTCGTGGGTTTGACCGAAGTGGTAATCGTCTAAGACCTGCGGGCTTCGGGCTTCCCTCCCACATTAAGCTGACACGCCGTGATATAACTATGTATTTCGTACTTTCAACCCTTGTAAACATATTGCTCGACATACAAGGAAGGTTGAAATCATCCCTCTTGTCATACAGTCTTATGTAGAGTGTTTTGTTAATCTGTATCTTTATGCATAGATAATCATCTGAGACCTGCGGGCTTCGGGCTTCCCTCCCACATTAAGCTGAGACGCCGTGATATAACTATGTATTTCGTACTTTCAATTCTTGTAAACATATTGCTCGACATACAAGGAAGGTTGAAATCATCCCTCTTGTCATACAGTCTTATGTAGAGTGTTTTGTTAATCTGAATCTTTATGCATAGATAATCATCTGAGACCTGCGGGCTTCGGGCTTCCCTCCCACATTAAGCTGACACGCCGTGATATAACTATGTATTTCGTACTTTCAATTCTTGTAAACATATTGCTCGACATACAAGGAAGGTTGAAATCATCCCTCTTGTCATACAGTCTTATGTAGAGTGTTTTGTTAATCTGAATCTTTATGCATAGATAATCATCTGAGACCTGCGGGCTTCGGGCTTCCCTCCCACATTAAGCTGACACGCCGTGATATAACTATGTATTTCGTACTTTCAATTCTTGTAAACATATTTCTCGACATACAAGGAAGGTTGAAATCATCCCTCTTGTCATACAGTCTTATGTAGAGTGTTTTGTTAATCTGAACCTTATGCATAGATAATCATCTGAGACCTGCGGGCTTCGGGCTTCCCTCCCACATTAAGCTGACACGCCGTGATATAACTATGTATTTCGTACTTTCAATTCTTGTAAACATATTGCTCGACATACAAGGAAGGTTGAAATCATCCCTCTTGTCATACAGTCTTATGTAGAGTGTTTTGTTAATCTGAATCTTTATGCATAGATAATCATCTGAGACCTGCGGGCTTCGGGCTTCCCTCCCACATTAAGCTGAGACGCCGTGATATAACTATGTATTTCGTACTTTCAATTCTTGTAAACATATTGCTCGACATACAAGGAAGGTTGAAATCATCCCTCTTGTCATACAGTCTTATGTAGAGTGTTTTGTTAATCTGAATCTTTATGCATAGATAATCATCTGAGACCTGCGGGCTTCGGGCTTCCCTCCCACATTAAGCTGACACGCCGTGATATAACTATGTATTTCGTACTTTCAACCCTTGTAAACATATTGCTCGACATACAAGGAAGGTTGAAATCATCCCTCTTGTCATACAGTCTTATGTAGAGTGTTTTGTTAATCTGAATCTTTATGCATAGATCTAAATATGAAACAGACAAGGCGATCTCACTGGTTCTCTTTATTTCTAGTTCAGCTGGGTGAATCAGTGGAAGGTTATTCACTCTCCGATTATTGAACGATATAAGATCAACGATATACCTGAAGCTTCAGTTCTTCTTCTTAGCCAAATTGGAAAATTGCAAAAATGGAATACTGTTAAAAGCGGCGTTAAACCCAACTCACTCACTTCTGTTGTGCCTCTACTAGCCCGGGTTTACACTAGTACTAGTGCCGGTTTAACACTGCTAGCCCAACGAGATACCTTGCCGCAGTGTAACATGGATATCACACTCGGACACAGTATACTGACCCCGAGCCGACGTCTTCTTTTACCCTCTTAATGCCAAGCTCCAGGCAGGGTAATAACATGTAGCATATTTTCTTTTCGCATGACGCGGCAAGGGGCTCGAACCACCGACTATCCACCCTCCGGGCAGACGCTCTGTCCACTCGGCTATGGAGGCGGTTCAACCATAACGTTACGAATACATTTACCACGAGTATGGTGATTACAGATTAATTAATCGCGATCCTGGATTCGAAACCATGATCAACGGATCCTGACAGTCAAGGGACGGAACTCTGTATTTGCGGAACAACTTGTCCTCTCGTGCCCCTGTACTGCATGTAAGTAAAGAAAGACGCAATCACAAATCATTTTTTGAATTCTTTATTTCAAAAAGGTCATAAATTTATTATATGAGACCCTAAAATATAGAGCACCATGTGGCTACATACAGTTTAGAAAACATAGAATCATAACAATATGAAAATATCTACTAGTTTCAGAAAGCGAAGCAGGTAGTACGCAGTGAAAACATGAAAAACATTGCTTTGTTTTTCACCCCTCAAAACGCGACCAAACACGCGTGCATTGACGTAACAATACTCTTTGTGCCGATAATATCTCTACATAAATATTTTTTTTTCTGTTCCAATATTAGACGGATTGATCATTGTGTGTTACCCCAACAATAAGGCCGAGAAATGACGTGTACAGCACCACGTGACGTTATGACGTCACTCCCGGTCAACACGTCACTCCTGTCCATATTGAAAATGCAAACCACAGAGGCACCTTAACAATTAACAAATGGAATTCATGACCAAATGATCAACTAACTATTTCAACAATTATTATGATTTAATCCAGCATGCAAAAAGACAACCCGTTCTATCGACACGATGTCGAATTCCCGACCGTCCAATGTTCCCATCATCCCTTGCGAACCTTTCTCATTAACCAATGAGAAGTCGCGTTTGGTTACATCAACGTTTTGTACAAAGAAAGACTTATTGGTAAGGCGTGCAGTTTAACATTTCCGCTGTACGAATTATGCTGACCAAAGTTATTGAAAACTCAGCTGCCGATAAAAGATCCGAAAGTCACACTGTCCACGTGCATCTGTAACAGAAGTAGGTATTTTCCTTGTTCTCTTTAACCCTGTTCTGCCGATATCGTAACCACATTACCAGCGACCTTCACCTTTCAACATCAGGGTCAGTATAACCTTGACCTTTAAACCCTGTGTCATAAAGATTCACAACCTCCAGAATGCTCTTAGCACAAGGACATATACGGGACACCCACTCACATCAACATTATTTACATAATTGAAACACAAAACAGTAATCACAAACAAATACTAGATCTCCACTGCCGATGGGTTATTGCATGTATAGTAGGGAATTTATATATAGTTTTGTTTAGTGCATTACACTCTGCAGGGCAAGACTTTGATTCCAGCATAGAAGCATGATTAATAACAGTCTGACCATTCCGATTTGTCAGATTTGACCACGAGCATTAAAAAGCATCAGAATGTTTCCATTCCAGTTCCTCACACCGTTTTCAGAATCAGACATAATACTCGTTGGCCTGCTGAACCAAAACTGGCTAATAAAAATATATACTTCTGGACAGCTTTCTAACGTACACTGAACTATACCTACTAAAGACTGTGATAAGACTGGCCTTTGGCTAGGAGCCCTAACAAGCCAATTAAAAGTGGAACTGAATTGTTATGTGAATTGACAGAGCAGATGTTCTAGTACTGCCTAGAACTGGTTGGCGTTCTTTGTTGCGCGCTCAGTTGAGTTGGTCGTTTACTTCAGTCCAGAGATTGTTGATTTCAGAGAGGCCTTTTCCTGTTCAGGAAGAGAACGCATAATTGTTACATGATATGCTATGTGATGATATATCACAGTTATCGGACAAATAGTTTATGTCGGAACTACTTTTAACTATATATCTGACAGAGTTAGCTCCCCCTTGTTTATTTGACTGCTGTCAATGGATCCTGGGTACTTTGTTAGTAGAATATACATAATTAATGCGACTTAGTTCATGTCGGAACTACTTTAACTTTGTATCTTACAGAGTTAGCCCCTCCTTGTTTATTTGGCTGCTATCAATGGATCCTTGGCACTTTGTAGGTAGAATATACATAATTAATGCGACTTAGTTCATGTCGGAACTACTTTAACTTTGTATCTGACAGAGTTAGCTCCCCCTTGTTTATTTGGCTGCTGTCAATGGATCCTGGGCACTTTGTTGGTAGAATATACATAATTAATGCGACTTAGTTCATGTCGGAACTACTTTAACTTTGTATCTGACAGAGTTAGCCCCCCCCCCCCCCCCCCCCCTTGTTTATTTGGCTGCTGTCAATGGATCCTTGGCACTTTGTAGGTAGAATATACATAATTAATGCGACTTAGTTCATGTCGGAACTACTTTAACTTTGTATCTGACAGAGTTAGCTCCCCCTTGTTTACTTGACTGCTACCAATGTGTCCTAATGACTTTCCAGGTATAATAAACATACTTATATAAAATAATGTTTACCTCAAATTTTGTCATCAACATAGTCATATCAGTAGTCAAATATTGATTATGATCAATATATATTCATACCAAATTAATTTCCGGATTAAAAAAAAGAAGATATATATATGTATAACGAGTATACCATTCATTAAGTTTACGCTTGTGGCGTAATTTCATTCTCAGTTCCCTGAGGAGTATACAACCCAAGCTGCCTTAAGAGGCGCTAGAAGGTAAACAGTCACATTACCATCTCATCCCACAGGGTTTCCAATCATTCTGTTGGGTGAACAGACCAGGCCAAAAAAACTCCCAGGAATACTTTTCAAACTTCCGAAAACGGCCACCCATCCAGCTACTCTCCGCTTCAAAGATAACATCATGCTATTAGACTTACGTTCTTGCTGTCGTCAAGGAGAAGGGTTGTGCCGGAGCCGCCTCCCCAGGAGAAGCACTCTTTGTTGATGATAAAGTCGCCTACGGAGGTGTCACCATGTGCTGGGGGGTTGCCAGCAGCGTAGATCTGAGAGAGATGATAAAATGTGAAGGAACAAAGTGGAGGAATGCTTCATACGTGTCATTGTTTTGCGACATGTCTAGCTCTAAATCTACACTTTTGTGGATTTTATTTTGTTTCATAGCACACGTCCACACCACCAACATACGCCTGTGGTCGGGGGTTGAAATAAAATTTTAATTAGGGCCTCAATTATTGCTTTTGTTTTTGTAAGAGGATAGATTCAGTAGGATAAGATTTTTTTTGTATTTATGGAGTTTTTTTGTTTTTTTAATATTTAATAGCTTTTACGTGGCTGCAATGGACTCACAGTTTGGAATTCTGTTTGAAGGCATAAAATGTATTTCAGCAAACACATCATTGTTCATTTAGCATGTTCCCTTTGTTTGCATCTTCCCGAGGCAAGTGAGTTAACTGACTATAAAAGTCCAGTTTCCACCCTTGTCGACCTAGGCTGGTATTATGGAGTTAGATTTTGGCTGTACTAACGAGTCTATGCATAGTCCAATCAAAATCGCGCACCGAAATCGAAATCCGGTTCGTAGAGTGTCATGCAGATTTCGGTCGACTGCAGGATTTTGCAAAGCATGTGCACCGCTAACTCGTTGTCAACAGATATTTTCTAAATCTTTTCATGTTTTTAATCAAGGTGCTCACGTGATTTGATGCACTTCGCGATGTAAGACTCGTTCTATCACAATATAGATCTTGGTTATCGATCAGATCGTCTTGACTGGGCGCCACCGTTTTGTTTGAAACAAATGCAAGTGATACGAGAGGTTGAATCTGATTGGTCAATAGGAGAGGCATAGAAAGGACATAACTCGTAATAGCCACTGGTGGCGCTACGATCGAGCCCAGGAATTCCAGCCTAGTTCGGCAAGGGTGGAGACTGGACTTTCAAAGTAGGTTAACTCTCTTGCCTTGGGAAGATGTTTGTTTGAGAAAGGGAAAAAGGTTTCTGATATTTTCTTCATAAGCGTATTTAAACTAAACTGCCGGGTAAAAGAAAGTATACATCTGAAAAGTTGAATTTGACCAAAAGCTCATACGTTAATACAACGTTACTAGACTGAAAACAATCACCGAAACACCGTGAGATATGGGTGTATACTTTCTTGTGCATTAGCTTAGAAATATTTGACTTCCTATGTTTCTGAAGTTTAGGGGAAGTGGATCCGTAAACTAAGTACAATAAACATATCTCCAGACTACCACATCTTCCCGAGGCAGGGGAGTTAACTGTTAACAGTTTCCACTGGACTTTTACAGTCAGTTAACTAACTCCCTTGATTCGGGAAGATGGACTGCCATGGCAAGCTAGTTGTCCCGATTGTCCCTGTTCAAATCCTCATTACTTACTCTGAGCTTCTCGCCCTGTTTCAGGACGGTGTTCCCAAAGGTGTAGGAGACGTCTTTCTTGCCGGGAACACTTCTCTTCAGGGACCAACCGGACAGATCCTGATTCTGGAAGTCAAAATAAGGGTGTGAAAACAAAGTACCATAGAGCAATACATTTGCCTGAAGAATACAAGACACGTGGTTCAAATCAACCGTCATCTACATCAAATCGTATAAACGTATTATTTTCTCATATTGTGCTATCTCGTGTTTGATACACGCGGTTATAATACATATCGCCCGTTATAATTACACAACCGCCGTTATATTGCCGGAATATTGCTGAGTGCGGCGTAAAACAACAACCAAACAAAACAATATATCCGTTACAACGTCTCGACCTTAATTGAAATGAAAAACAGATCGTAAAACACTGGCGCTCTTATATTTTCGGTTGGGGTTCGGGGGTTGTCGGGTTCTGTTTTTTTTCCTTCAATTTTTTAAGCTGAGAAATGATTTCTTCATAAAAGAGCTGAGATTTTTTACGTCACATTTCAACATATGGACAGAATGTTAAAATGCGCCCACTATTCACATGAACAGTACAGAGGTAAGTGCTTTTAAGCCAGAACATTGAAAATTGCAATATTATAAATCTTTTTTATATAACACAAGACCATTTTTTACAACACCATGTGCAGCAGAAGCCCAGTGTGCAGTTTTCTCCAAATTGGCAGAAAACTGGTCAACGTGATATGTTTGTACTCGAGGAATGTACTTTTCAGTTTCTAAGATTATGGAAGATGGACATAAACCGTAAAACTTTTGATGTAAACTGACGAACAAACTTTACCATGCTGAAATTTGGACACGTTGGGTCCACACCCCGAATAATGTTACAAATAAAATAATGTTGCGAATAAATCGCCCAAACACAACCAAAACAAATTACTGAGTAATAAACATGCTACAGTACCCAAGACAAGTGTTAGTTAAAACATGTTTTCGACCCGTGAAGATCCGGGGTAGGATAGGTCTTCAGCAACCCATGCTTGCCGTAAAAGGCGACTATTCTTGTCGTAAGAGGCGACCAACGGGATTTGGGTGGTCAGACTCGCTGACTTGGTTGTTGCACGTCATCGTGTCCCAATTGCATGGATCGATGCTCATGATATCAATCACGGGATTGTGTGGTCCAGACTCGATTATTTACATCACACAGCTGGAATATTGCTGAGTGCAGCGTTAAACAACAAACAAACAAACATAAACGATGTTTTCGGATGGCGACATACCTTGCCCTTAGATCCAGAGGTGGTGTTCTCAATCATGATGTAACTTCCGTCAATAGATGCCTCGACGAAGCTGATTGGTCCACGGGACGACCTTGATTGAGTCATTCTTCCGGAAGCCTCGCTGTTCATGCCTGCGGAAGGTTTTGATCCCTCTATTATAGTTATCAACAAAGTGTGAGATGCATGGTTAGGAAGATGAAAAAAAAAATAAAAATGGGAAAAAGAAAACGTGCATGATGTTAATTCCTTTAAATATTGACAGATAGGTTAAGTGCAAGGACAATGATCGTGAAATACATAGAGTGAAATGTGAAATTGTTAATATTCAATAGGCAAGTTCGATCTGCTTCAACATGTCGAACAGTTCCTTTACAAACTGGTTTTATAAGGACACAAAAGAGTTACACTGTCAGACAACAATTGGGCGAGGTGTCGGCGGGATATATATGGTAATCGATTATGTAAGCGGAGAAAGCAGGACTAGGCTAAGATATAACGGTAACGTGACTGAGGCGGCTAGTCACGTGACCTCGTCTAATGTACTTCAGTGGCCTAGAAAAGCTTGTGGACACATGTTCTATTGCTGTGACCTCATTGACAACATTTGAAGTAGATAAATGCAAACATGCTGAATTTCTCAATGAGTAATGAGGGGTGGGTGCAAATATTGAAACAATCGGGCGAGAGGCGAGCGTTAGAAAAACAAAGGGAGAGAACTTATCGAGGTCAGGTGTTTTCGGATTAAGTAAGATGTTTTGTTGATATAGAAGACATTGGGGTGTTAGTCATCAATTTGGGTACCAAATTACCATAACACATAGAGGCGCTTCAGTATTTAACTTGCCATAACATTCATTGCTCGTGTTGGATAGGAAACCTCGAAACCATAGATTAAAACGTTCAGCAGTTTTGAAAAGATAGTTTCAGTTGAGTGAGCATGAAAGGATTGTGCAGTTGGTTCCCATGACCAGAAGAGGTAGTTACGCTTGGGTGAACACGATTTACATACGATATGCTATGACTCATAAGTGTACAGCTTTCAAAAGATGCAAATAACTTTACAGTTGTTAACAGAAGCCTTTTCAACATACAATTGGAATTCTACTCTATTCTGAATGACTCGCCATTGCGGAAAAAATGATACATTAAACGGTGCACAGTTATTGTTAGGAAATAAAGTCCATGCGGAGCTGGTAATACTCTTGTCTCCAGCACAATAACGCGGACGGGCGATTTCAGTGAGAGCTCATTTCCATATAAGTCTCAGGGCGATAACCAATAGAATTCCACGCAGCTAACTCCCTAATTCACGAGCCGCAGTTTCGTAGCTGAATTGTTAACAACCCAGTCACGCGAAGTCAGCAAATAATTTTTATTTAGCATCAAACGCAAATAAGTGTAGATCCTGCTGTGAATAGCACATTGTTGAAATAGTTTCAAACAATTGGGACCGCCCCTGTTTGCGTTGACAGTGACAGAGCGAACTTGTTTATACAAGACGCCTCGCGTAGGAGGTTCAAAGGTCACCAACTCAATGTTGCAGATCAGGTAATATTGCAAGCCTCGCATTGAGAATAAAAGCCTCTGTCTGAACCTGAATTCAGTGCTTGACGTTCTGCCCGCCTGGCCGAGCGAGGAGTTGACTCAATGCCTGAGGCTTCTTTTCCGTCATTGTCACAGTCCCACATGATCATTCAGTATGTCATGGATTTCGTTGCATTATTGTGTTGTGTGTTGTTTTTGTTTGGTGTCCTATGTGTTTTGTGAGGTTTACTTATCTAGTTTACAGTTATAGTCCTTGTACATTTGTTTTTTAACAAGTCTACATTTCTGACACTGTTATCCTGTAAATGGCATAGTTTAACAACTTTATATCAATTTATATAACATATATAACTTCGACCATGTAAACGTGAGACATATATTTACATATTTTCAAGAAATTAATTTAATTTTATGTGATCAGAAATTATTTTTAGTTAAACTGAAAATTTTAACTGCAAACATACGTGAAACATGAATTGCATGTTCGAAAAGGTATTTTAATATATATACTGAAACTCGCAATTTAAGATAGCATTTCAGCGACACAGACCTGAAACATATTGCTTTAGAAAAAAAGTCGAGTGAGCCACGGCAAGCAAGTGAGAGACAAACCAACATATACTCCACGCAACTACAGATGTGGGGATTATCAATCACAACAGATGCAACAGAAAAAGGGGTTGGAAAGACACGGCCAAAACGAAAAATTGCTTTCATACGTTCCTTTACCTTGCATGCTTGACCTAACAAAATAATTGATTTCTTTTCGATTTGGAAACAAAATAAATCCAAACTTACCCAAACGGTGCATTTATGTGACTTACCTAATCACAATATTATATACATAGTTTGTTAGAATATACATATTTTAATTTGTCGCTGAAATAGAAGCCCTTATTCATCATTATGAAATTAATTTTTAAAATTTTGTAAGTCTGTGATTATTTCAAATTTATATAATATCTTTCTATGCACAAATACACTAGTTGCTATGGATATATGTATATATATATATCTATATAAATATATAATTTGTAGTACTATTCACCTTCACCATATATATGTATATATCTTGTTTGTGGTTATATATTATGTATATGTGTCTTAAAGGAAGATCAAGATGAATTAACATTCAACATTTTATTCGTGTGTAATGAAAAAAACGTGACAATTCACTATATCATGATCGAAAATAGTGCTAATATACAAAGAGTAGAATATATGATATATTTACTCATATCACATTGATGTACACAACCTACTTAGATCGTACGTATAGCACCGGCCTTAGAAATAAAAAAGAACTTGCATGAAACATTCATCTTCTTTGCTTTGTTACATGTGGACACGTGATTGGTCTAGTTGCATGCTGGGAAAACATATTTTGTGACATGACTCGTGATTGGTCAAAATCATGCTGAGAATGAATGAAGAGCATGCTTGCCGTGACAAATCAAGGGAATGGTGCGTAGTATGGCCATTTGTTTGAATTCCTATATACATATGGGCTCTGTTGTATCTCAGTTACACTTGCTCGTGACAAACGGAACGAAATAATAATTTTCCAATTTCGTATTTCGTCTATTCATCTTTTATATGAACATGGTGAAAATGCAGCCACGACTACGGAAGCGCGAATCACATTCATAACATAAACTTCGAGGCGATTGCCATTTGGTATGCTACATATTTACACTGATAAGGTCACGTGATAGTAAGGGGGACAACCACGTTCTCCGTGCGATGAATGGGAGGTAAGGAAGGGAGGGTGCAAGGATTATCTCCCATGGGTGTAAGTGAACGCGACGTTGGGTCAAAGGTGTTAGTGTCCACACGACAGGTTTTACAAAACAAAGAAAATGTTAGTGACATACACAGAAATAAAGCATTACGTGGAATCGGTCACTCTGGGGCCTTCCCTTTACAAGAAAAGCATATCTTAACAGCCGGGTGGAAAATTATAAAACTTTATAAACATTATGCTTCGTTGTGGTATTTACACATTGAAAATTGACGTTAGACACTGTGTTTTACACCCAGTGTGACGCGACTCCTATAGATACGGTTTTATAGTAGAGATATTGCAACAGTATAGGCAAAGCGTTAACTAGCCCGACCACAAAGCAAAAATATATGCCAAATGAGAGAGGGCCCGAGGATGCCCGCTTTAACGTCAGAAATAAAAGTCATGCTAGGAGATGAGGGTTTGAGTCCTCCCGGGCCGACACCTCAAGGACGATCACGTGATGGTCACGTGTTTACTTCTTACTGCTATGTCCAATAGCCGTGGATGAGCTTGAGGACGAGGTGATGAATTCACTAAGTCTTTGGGCTCCAGATCCTTGCACACCAACGGCCTGTTCAACGATCTGTTTAAGACCAGCCCTGGAAGACAAACATGCAAATATTTAACAATTTTGAACCGTTTCTGAGATCTAATATGATCTAACGTTTCACCACCACACTTGTAATCTAAGGATATATTAGGTCCATTACTTATCTGAAGTTGATCTTGCAAATTATCTCCCCCTTCTCCCCTTTTGACCGATGACTCCAAAGATGTCACATAGTTAAGCCTTCGGCGTGTTTTGAAGCACGCCATGTCGTTATCTCCGTTCGTTCGAACAATAATTTTCTGCATTACACTAAGCTATAAGGATTTAGCTGAAAAAGACCACCACCTTAACCATCTAAATTAGGCGATTCTTTTGAACTACAGTAAAGTACGGTTATAACGAACTCAAAGGGACTACTTATTTTAGTTCGTTATAATCGTAGTTCGTTATAAGCATATACACAGTATAACTACAGCAAATAGTCGGGACCAAAAAGTAAGTTCGTTATATCCGTCAGTTCGTTATAAGCGTGTTCGTTATAACCGTAGTTTACTGTATTTCGTATTACAATTTGGAAATTGGTCACGATTGTCTCACCTGTTCTCTTCACCCTCCAACAACTGTCTGTAGCAGCAGATCTCGAGTTCCAGGGACAGCTTGGCGTCCATGATGCACTGGAGTTCCTGGAGACAAGTCTCCAGTTCTCCCTGCAGGCGGTCGACGTCTGTCTGGTACTTCAGCTTCAGCTCATCATTGTCGCGACGGGCCTCGGACAACTGGCGGGCGAGGTCGTTCATCTCAGCTTCCAGAGTCCTCAACTGAAGGGTAAAAAATGGTAAGTCAGCGACATTGGTATAATCTGTGTTGTCAAGGCTAGAGTCAGTGGTAAGACTCTTTGACGGCATCACCGTCGCGAACACATGATGTCATCACTGATGTTTAGTTGTCAAGTCATATGATGTTTACCACAAGTTTGCCCTTTACGACCAATGGCGATGGTCTGGTCCAGACTCGATCATTTACAAACCGCCGTCATGTAGCTGGAATATTGCTTGAGTGCGGCGTGAAACAAACACAACTAAACGACCAATGGAATCTCTTTCGGCAGATCATGGAGACTGCCTAGTATCTGGCGATGACGTTTTATATATATTGGACCTCATAACATTCACCTAACAACTTAAAAATATCAAATTGTCAGTCGGCAAGCATCATGTTACCTAATACATTAAGCTTAATATATAACCTTTCAGTTTTGAAATGAGATTATGTACAAGGAAATCGTATTTACGTAATCCAAAACACATGTTTTACAGAAATCAATCAGATGAGCGTATTGTACGAGCCTAAAGAGATGGGACAATTGAGGCTAGCTGCAGCTCGTGGTCGTTATTGAGGTCACACATACACCTCATTGGGTAGCAATATGTTTCAATCTACATGTAGTTCTATATATGCCAGGGGCGGTGGGGTAGCCTAGTGGTTGAAGCGTTCGCTCGTCACGACGAAGACCCGGGTTCGATTCCCGACATGGGTACAATGTGTGAAGCCAATTCCTGGTGTCCCCCGCCGCGTTATTGCTGGGATATTGCTAAAAGCGGGGTAAAACCATACTCACTCACTCACTATATATGCCATGTGTTCAATAATTACAACTAGACATGCAAACAAGTACACATGACACTGATGGCAATGGCCGGAACGAGACTAGTTAGTGGCTCCAGATGTTCTGGAATAACAGAATTAAGCCAGCATTCTTTTCTGCCCGATGTCCGAACGGAAACAATGTTGTAGCCACCTCGTGTCTTTCAGAATTGTTTCGTTGAACGTAATAGGTAGATAACCTACCCTAGCCTCGGCGTCGTTGAGAGCGCTGGACCTGTCCGACAGATTGGCCTTGAGCTTCTTGACCTCTTCCCTCAGATGGGCACTCTCCAGGTTCTCCCTCACAGCGCCGCTCTGGAGCTGTCTCACCTGGAAATACAAGGGAGATCATTCTCAAACCCATATCTTAAAGGGAGATAACTCTTAATGCGTAACTATCCTGGAAAACAGTCCAAGCTTACCAATGTTAATTAGAAATAAGCCAGCATACGGAGTTGCTGATATTGCGAGAGATTCTGACATTGCAAGAAAGTGTTGCTGAGAGTATTTTATGGCAAGCTTTAGGCTGCAAAAGCGGCACGGTATATCATACGAAACAGTTTAATATGCAAATAAGAAAACTTATATTTTGTGATATTTGATACATAACTAAATTTCAGTTCATGTCATATCAGAATAGGCAGGTGAAAAGAGGCTAACGCACCTGAGCGTTCATCCTCATCTCCATGTCGTCTCTCATGGTCGAGACGACGTTGTCGTACTCGGAGGACAGGTCTCTGATGGCCTGGGCCATCTGCTTGTCCCACCAGGCACGCATGTCCAGTCCTTGGATCTTGGTGGTCTGCTGGGTTTCTTGTGGGATCTGTAATTAACAAAGTGTTTCGTCAGTAATATATTATAAGATGTCATTAATACTTTGTGATTCCTCTATGTAAAACATCCTCATAAGGGATAATAGTTATTTTGAAACAAATAATCCCGTTTGTAATTTCAGCGTCCAAGAATTGTTCTTCGAATGTGGCAGTGATCATGAACGTAGTTCTGCACCTTGCAAGCCGAATTTCGATTCAAAGTGCTTTAATCATGCCTGATGCATATCCAAACACATACTCGAAAGGATATTGTTCACGAAAGTAACTTCCTACCGGGTACCCATTCACTTCATATTTACTATGTCGTGAATGTCCTAATTAGCTCACAGAAGGTATATTCTGAATTTTAGAATAGAACAGCACTACTTCCTATTCAGGCAGGTAAAACCTCGAATTTATAAGAACTAAACAATGTCGTCCGTAGTTCGATACAAGCGGAGTGCCTCTAATAAACCGTAGTGTTCCTGGGCCATACATGTACGTGTTCTTAACGACATATCGAGATATTGGAGTTCAAGGTAACGAGGTTTCACTTTAATGTAAACAATAGGTTGTATCTGATGTGGAAAGGTTCATTCACGCACCTTGTCCAGGAGAGCCCTGAGGAACTCGCATTCCTCCTCGAAGGTCTGCGCCCTGTTGGAAGCCTCGATATGGGCAGCAGTCTCTGTGTCAAGGTCCTGGAAACATGTATAGATATTAGTTCAAAAGCAAACAAATACACCATCAATACGGAACAGACCCATTTAAATCATCCAGGTCGGAAATTCAAAGGGGGTCTAAAATTTACGATGTGTACATAGTTTTAGGTGAAGAATTCATTGAGTGGTCCTCCTAGTAAACAAAACGACGACTCATATATTGTGACGGTAGATGTCAAATGTATATTCATAATTTTTTAAACCTAATAGAAAATAGTGATCGATCACGAATAATAATAATAATAATAATAATAATGATAATAATAATAATAATAATAATAATAATAATAATAGGAAAATGATAAAAATATCGAGAAACGCCACAATGCATACAATTTATGCTAACAATCCACGTGTTAGAAGATGAAGCACTACTTACAGCCCTGTATTTCTTCAGGTCATCATTGGCCCTGTTGAGGAGCTCACGGAGTTTTTCGTTCTCATCCTCAACGTTCCTGATTCTTAGACGGAGTGAGCCGAGCTCGCCCTCGTACTCTCCGATCTGGGTGGTCAACTGGTTGATCTTGGACACATAGTCAACCTTGTGCTTCTCAAGAATGTCGATCCTGCAATAGGAATAATACCAGTAAATAGGAGCGTTGAGGACTTGCTCTTGAAATGTTTTGTGTGTTGTTTCACGTCACACTCAGCCATATTCAAGTTATATGACGGCGGTCTGTAAATAATCGAGTCTGGACCAGACAATCAAGTGACTGACAAGATGAGCATCGATCCACGCAATTGGGATACGATGTATGCATCAACTAAGTCAGCGAGTCTGACCACCCTATCCCGTTAGTCGCCTCTTACGACAACCATTGGTTGCTGAAGACCCGTATTTTAACGGGACTCCTAAAATATGAAAATGATTTGCAATGAGTACATATATATATAAAGATAATTATCATATTAGGAGTTGCTGTCAATTGCTATAATGAACTACAGTGCACATGGTGAAACAGAACATACTGGGTTCTTTTGTTCAGTGGGACATAAGTGGCACAATTGGCAATACGAAGCTGATCGTGGGTTCGAATCCTTTAATCACCACGAATGCTACGCTTATTATGGCAGCCCTGTGCGCGAGCTTGTGGGTTTCACCAAAGGGTAATCGTGTACTTCTTAAACCACAATAATCTCATCATACAAAGTGTCGAATCCCCATTACAAATCTTGCAGACATGTTTTATGTCTTAAAAGCCATAGCGATAAAAAGGATTTAGAGTTTGTCCCCCAAAATACAAATCCCAAGCAGCCAATTCAGTATTCCTACTTTAGCGGCGTATCTAGGCATGTGTGCTTATGGCACATAATATTGTTCGAAGACCTTATGTTAAACAAAAGAGAGAAGTGATTGAATAAATACAATACACGAAGGACCACTTTTGATTTAGAAACTTTTCCTATCATGTAGTCGTATATGTGTAACCTTGACCTTCTTCAAACCGGTTCATATTGATTGATTTGACTTCTTAAGCTGCCACAGATATCGATCCATGGCATTCAGCCAGAGACGGCGACTTAACGGGCAGAAAATCAATTTATAAGTCAACATTGTCTTCCATACACTCAGCAAACCATGCCGAAAGGTTTTATTGCCACAGAAGATGAACGAGGTATATCACAATAGAATTTGCCTTTGAACTCGTCACTGACTGCGTTTCGTTGTTATTATTTATGTATAAATTTAAAAGGGACACATTCCATGTAATCGATTCATTTTCTTTCTCACATGGTTGTTTTATTCAGGGTCAGGACAAGAAAATAACCTGATCTTATCACCCATCAAAGGGGCGTAATGTTAAAGGAAAGAACATACTCCAGTCTATAGGAAGCATTGCCAAATATCTCGAAGAAAATAAATAGCACAATTCTTTAGTTAGTGAAAAATACATTAAGTTTCAAAGTAATAAACTGGTCATACTCCAACGAAATAATTTATGATGTTTCTTCTTTTGTAAGGAAAGACAACTTTGTCTCTATATGTAGTGCAGGCAACGAAGGGCTAAGGGAAGTAACTCTATTTCGACATACCGAGTAGCGACAATGAATAAGAGTGCTCTCCCCTTGACCACATCGGCAGACGATTTTCCGAACCAAACGTGCTTTTGTGGAGGTGTGGGGTGTTAGTCAATACAGACAACTCGCCACGTATTGATTCGGCTGATGGAAGGCTTAAAGCATCCCAGGTCACTCCGACCCTTGTCGACAGATACACTTGTAGTTAGGTTACATAGTAACGACACACCGGCACATACCGTGATTGTAATTTCAATCAGGGATAAGCATGCGCGTCACTCAGATGTCTTCGAACGCTACGGTTGAACATTTGACACCGGCTACAAATTGAAATTATCATGATGAATACTTCAGACAAAGCTGCAATTTCAGCGTGGGGTAAGGTTCGAAAGCGTGTTTTAAGGTGTTGACTTGTGAAAAGTTCGAATTTTAATTCAGTCCCAGTTCTATTCAATAAATCAAAGTAGAGTTACTGGTTGTTTGCATTGATTTGGACAGCGTGAGAAACGTGCTCTAGTGTAGGTGTGAATGTTTCATAACGATTGCCACGTGAACAAAATAGTTCAGGCATCACACGGCAGGTTGGTATCGTATTACACACAAGTACTGAATTTCAAAACAAAACCTGCAAAAGGTAGAACGAGGACAATAACTGGCATTATAAGTGGAGGATTTCGTAAACGCCCCAACTTCAAGTTTGTAATTTGATATGGTAGATCTGTCTGTTCACCTGACTTGAATGAATGAAATGCCTCCAGAATTTTTGCATGCATGTTTTAAAGAAGGTTCAACCGAGCAACCTGTTGGCTTTTTGTAACCTTCAGCTGATATAGAGTAGTGGTGTCGATGCAGTATATATTCATGCTAACGGCTTGCTACATATTTGATGTTAATATCAATCATGCGTGAACCTGTTTTCATCAGGATGTGTTTGATAGATCGGTCATACAAAGGGGGCGTGGCTTATGTTGCCATCTCACAGGCGTAGCGTGGTGTTGCGTGTCGGCCTGTGGCAAGTGACGACGCATCTGTTCACTTGTGTGATATATGGCGCTGCAAGTTAAGACCGATCCCGTGCCACCTTTGTCATACTGAACAAATGCTTTCACTACACTGACAATCAGTCAATACAGAGCTGCATATATGCTCACTGTGCTACGTGCATACAGGGCCTTGTCAAACACGCATTAACAAAAGGATTTAAATTCTGAATAAACCTGCAAAACTGCTTACTTTGCAACTAGGACATACGCCAAGCACGCATTTTCAAGATGATTCAGATTCTGAATAAACATGTGCAACATAGAAGCAGAACAATCCTATTTTGAAATGAAACAATACTAGTACTTACACGGCACCCTGTCTCTGGACTTCGTCCTGGAGACCGGCGATCCTAGCATCGACTCCGGCCTTTTCCTTGGACAGTTCGTCAATTACTTTCCTGGCCTGGTTCAGCTCAGCCTCGTACATATCCCTGATAGGCTGGAGGTCGAACTTTTCCCGATGTCCCAGCTGGGCCAGTTGGTCCTCAAGCATCTTGATGCGGGCCTCCAAGAAGCGCACTTGCTCGATGTACCCGGCAAGGCGTTCGTTGAGGCCCTGCATCTCCTTCTTTTCCTTCTGGCGACTTTCGCGGACAGTTGTAACTCCGGAGCTGGACAGAGTCTGGTATGTACCAGGAGAGTAGACTGGGTTGACAGTTCTGCTAGAGAACGAGAATCCTCCTCCGGAGCCTCCATGGGAAGAACGAGTGTTGCTTCCTCTTTGCACAAGGGTTGTGCGGGCACTTATTGCAGGTGTATATGTGGACGAGGATGTCCTGGTTGTCTGTTGCACCGACATGATTGCGATTTAGTTGGAACAGGTGAGGTAAAAAATCCCAAGCAGGTAACTTCAGCCCGTCTGTCACAGCTCCGAGAGAGACGTGTTCACTGTACGGACGGTACAAAGCTTGTGTCGGCTAGAGGGAGAGACTAACCCTTAAAAGGCAACGCCGGTTCGCACATGCTCAGTAGGCCACTTCCTCTCCGCAAAGGCTGACTCATTTACAAACCCGTAGAACTCGTTTTTTAAAAGAAACATTGGTTACCTAGACATATATGGTGATACATAAGTATATTCTTGATGTTTGTATGCATGTAAATTAGCCTTGTCAACAAGTGCAAGTTTATGCAGATAGATCGGTCACGGTTCTGACGCTATGCTAAATCGACCGGTCCTGGGATTTCTGGTGTACACCTGATATATTATAAACGTACATGTAGATAGACAATGCAAGCTGGACGATATGTTTATTTGTTTATTAGTTAGCATGAGTACGTTTGTGATTTGTGGTCTCTGTAAACAAATTAACTGCTTCACTGTACATAGAATAATATCTCATCGTCGAATTTTCCCTCAAGCGACCCCACACGTAAAACGTGAATACGATATGATCCAACCCGTCCATGACTGTCACTGACTACGGTGTTTATATTTCGCATGAGACCATCTCGTCTAGGTGGAAGACAGTTGTAAAATTAATTTAGGAAAACTTTGTACCAAAAAGGTTACGTTCTATGCAATATGTAATGTAATAGATACAGTATTTGACGTTAATTATTAATCTAACAAATGTATTACTGTTATATACTTGTATAAGTATTAATAAAAGTGTACTCTATGCATGGAAAATATGTATGATGTATACAAGGTTTGATATGCTTGGTCAAGTCGAGGATCGTATGTTCAGCAGAATTAGCTGGAAATTGTTCAGCACGATTGCAGGTCACGATGACATGCGTTGAGTTTATTTTCAATGATTTCTTATTACCGTTTGTTATTGATAAACCCACATGCATCCAACACCGCCCACACACCAATGACTTGTGATTTATGTAGTTAAACACTCTTAAGTGTCTCCGTCAATCATTTCTTCATGACTTAAATGTAATTGGTAACTTTATCTTTGCCCTACGAAACACTCCTGAAAGTAACACACCCCCCCATCCCCCATACCCCACCACACACACACACACTCCCAACAACATTTCTAAGCCGGTATGTCGACAAACACCGGTCGTCACTGGATTCACTCCTCGTGGATCTAGCCGAACCTATTCATGGTTAGTTACCAGGTCAATTTTGAAGACGTACACAAATTAATGTTGATGTCCCGCATCAAGATAGATTTAAGACATCATTCTGGCAACTAGGGACATGGATGACTTCCTTGAGAAATCAAGATTGTTTAGTTACATTATGCTTACAAATCGATGGATGCATGTGAGAGGTTTGCGTGCGTGTGTAGGTGGAGATTAGATGAGTAAAGCTGTACAGCAATACATTCTTGAAGTGCCTATTTTCGCCAACGTCGTGCATGTCAGAAATTTGTGCACGTGAAGTTGCGTTAAATACAACACATGCCAAGACAGTTAAAATATTGTTAGATAGGCCCAGGTATAAAAAAAACATGTTCTCGGTTGGGTTGTTTTGACGTGGATTCAAGCTGATCCACCGTTTAGTCAAGGAGAACGAGATATAGTTATAATATTGCGGCAGTAGAGATTACTATGGATAACAGTGGTCATAGCAATGCACAGTGGATTGAGACGGGACCACCTAATATTAAATGAGGTTACATCAGCTACGCGAAGCCTGGACAGGTTGGTGCAGAACGGGCTGAGCTGTCGTTTTTCTTTCAACCTGTTTTCCTGTGTCATGCAGTAGTAGTAGTGTCACGTGACAAAATGCCGGCCGGCGTCAGCTCACATCGTGTGAGCAAGTGTTCTACGAATTTGCTCGACATGTTTTTTTGTGAACGTCCAATAACTTAGGCACGAAACGTCATAAATAAACCTAACTCAGTTATTACTACGAAATAGAATAAGTATATTGATCCGAGTTCATCCATGTTAGCTTTTTCTTTCAGAGACAGACGACATATTTGTCTAAAATTAGCAGCCAATTGAAAGGCAGTAAAACGATTGATTGATTGCCTTACTTCCCCCGTCCTCGCGCTACCTGTCGCCTCAAGCGTACCAGGGTTTACATTTTAAGGTGGGGCTACCTTTCAGCGTTCAAGAGGCCGGCAAATTCATCCAATTACTCATTGTCTGTTTTCTTAATCTTTGATGGTCTAAATGTTTGCAGTGCAAATACACTTGTATGGGATGGATTCCGGCTTGCTATTAACAAATACGTATTCGAGGGCCACTTGTAGAAATGTAACGCAGTCGGATTTCATCGTGTTCAAACGCTGCCATATATGCGTATTTTATCAGGAGGGGAAACGCATCATGATTGCAAATGTTCTGGATGAGATCATCATCAGTTTGCAAATTATTCCGTACCAGTTGCATCAACTGATACACTTATAACAAATGGCTTATAACCTTAAACCCTTACTCAACACGGGATCGGGTGGTCAGGCTCGCTGACTTGGTTGATTCATGTCATCGATCCCAATTGCGTGGATCGATGCTCATGATATCAATCACTGGATTGTCTGGTCCAGACAGACCGCCGTCATATAGCTTGAATATTGCTGAGTGCAGCGTTAACCAACAAAACAACCAACCAACCTTACTCAACAATAAAAATAAATAAAGCTGACAGAATTTCTGCATATTCGTTTGTGGTTTTTAACATCGTAGATGAGTTCATTTCCTTGTTTAATGTCTTGAATAAAATATATAGGACATCACTCGGTCATATGTACCATTGACCTGTTCTCGGATGAGTGTCACGTAATCTCCCTACGTGTGGGGATTGCAACAGTGAATTTGGGGAAGTTGACATTGCCAATAAGAACTTATTCCTTTAATTGTATACTTTGATGTCAGTATTAGCCGCAAGACGTGCATAAATAAAACTTTAAAATATCTCAAGTTCAATTTTCAAGGGATGTTAATTATAAATGTTAACTTGAATAACTTTGAAACAAGTTTTGTGTTGAGAAAAGTATGGTGGTTTAATCATTTTGTCGAAATACGATGTATGTCGGGATAGACAATGTGTCGAAGTATGCCGGTACAACCATTTTGTCGAGATAAGTATCCTGGTATAACCATTTGTCGAGATATGTATCCTGGTATAACCATTTGTCGAGATAAGTATCCTGGTATAACCATTTGTCGAGATATGTATCCTGGTATAACCATTTTGTCGAGATAAGTATCCTTGTATAACCATTTGTCGAGATAAGTATCCTGGTATAACCATTTGTCGAGATAAGTATCCTGGTATAACCATTTTGTCGAGATAAGTATCCTGGTATAACCATTTGTCGAGATAAGCATCCTGGTATAACCATTTGTCGAGATAAGTATGTCCGTGAGCATTAAATCAATGGAACCAATTTGTCCATATAGGTGGTTATCAAATATATATATTCGATTAATAAAACATTGTTATGAACAGTGTGCTAAAAGAGGCAAATTGTTGATATAAACAGTACTTTGGGATAGCGAAAGTGTTGATAAAACCAGTATGTTGAGATAGCCAATGTGTTCATATATATGCAATATCTTTATTGCACAAATACTGGCAGACCACATGCCTGAAGTACAAATCTGTGTGGACAGTAAACGCACAGAAATTAGTTTGAATTGTTCATATCATAAACTTTCTTAACTTCATTGCATAAAATATATAAGCTGTGGACTTAAGTACATTGATATTTACAGACGACGTTTAAACTCACTGCATGGAACGTTAAGATATTTGAAAGTTAATGCATACGTGGTTGTAGGTAGGTTCAACCGAGACCTTGATAAAACGGGCAGATTGAGAACAAACTTTTCTATTTACTGTTACGCATCAAACACAGTCTACATGCCTTCAGGATTTTCAAATACCTTCCTGTCTGAAATTTCGTTATATGTGATAAACATCTGGAAAATCTATTCTATGTATATACAAGAGTGGCTTCAATGTCTTAATTTCTAAACTCTGTTTTAAAGATAATGACATTGTTGCGTTAATGCTAATGAAGTGTGTCCAATTTTATATACATGTGTGTTGATATAAACAGTACATTGAGATAGACAATGTGTGGAAACATTTGTATATTGAGATAAGCAACATATTGATACAAGCAGTATTTTGCAACATGGTATGGCTCTTGATTTCAACATTCTGTTGAGATGGCATATGTTGAAATATCCATATTGCTGATTAAGTGGTATGTGGAATATACGCAATATGCACATGTTTATATAACCTGCAAACAATATGTTGAGATAACAATGTTGAAATAACCAACATTCTGATATAAGCGGTATATTGGAATGAATGCAATATCCTGATATAAACAGTACATGTATTTGGAGGTATTAAATATGTTGATATACAGTATGTCGATGTATCAAATATGCTGATAGCGTCAGTATGTCGAGGTATCAAATGTTGATGTAAACAGTGTGCCGATGTATCAACTATGCTGATATAAACAGTATGGCAAGGTATCAAATGTTGATGTAATCAGTATGTCGAGCTGTCAAATATGTGGATGTAAACAGTATGTCGAGGTATCAAATGTTGATGTAAACAGTGTGTCGATGTATCAACTATGCTGATATAAACAGTATGTCTAGGTATCAAATATTGATATAAACAGTATGTCGAGCTGTCAAATATGTGGATGTAAACAGTATGTCGAGGTATCAAATGCTGATATTAACTGTATGGCAAGGTATCGAATATGTTGATATAAACAATATGTTGAAAAACTTGATGTAAACAATGTGTTGAGATAGCAATGTTGAAATAACAAATATGCCGATGTAAACAGTAAACATTATTGTAACCAATTTGTTTATTCAAACAATGCATTGAGATGACGATTAAATTGTGATATAACAGAATTGTCAGTATTTTGGCATAACCAATACATGTATGGTGATATGTTGTGATGTAGCCTTGGATAATCTAGTTGCCTTAGGCAGCGATAATCAACACTATATATATATATGAGATAAGATTAG